TCGGTCTACCTTTTTATCATTTAGGCAGGCAGGAGAGATGGCTGAAATAGCATTATTGCGATCTCCATGACAATATCATTACATAGGGGTGTATTCCAGCACTATTAACATCATGGCAACACAACTGAATAAAGAGATATCACTTTGTCTTGACGGCAATGGTGGAAAAGCTTATAATATATATATAACCTTCCATGATCTCAAGATGACCCAAAGCGCATATCGCAAAGCATAGTCACTGATGCAGTGTAGGCCCATGGTTTTTATTCACACAGCAAGATCTCACAAACAACTACGCAATAAATGACTAAAAAACTCAGGTTAAGTGTTGTTGACTAAGTTATAAATATTGACCAAGACTCCAGGGAAAATTCTTGTTCCCTTTTTCAGAATAATGCAATGCAACGTGATTTTTTTTTAAAAATTACTCATGGGCATCACTGGCTGGCCAGCATTTATTGCCTGTCCCTAGTTGCTCTTCAGAAGGTGGTGAAAAGCTGCCTTCTTCAGCCACTGCAGTCTGTGTGCTGTAGGCAGGTATATGTGCTCCCCAAACATTTTAATGGCGTGACTTTAATTTAATGCCCTATATCCCTCAAAAACAGTCCAGTTTCACTGTTACAAGATCCTTGGTTAGGATTGACTTGATAATGGAGCAGTAACATTCAAGGTATGTGCTGGACAGTTGTCCTTTCTGGATATTGTAATGCAGGGGATAGTGGCTGTACATTTCCTACACCTTTAAAACTTCAATGGTGTTGGTATGAAGACATATGACCTGTTTATACAGGTTGCTGCAGCAACACAGTGTCACAGAACCTCACCTTACAGAAGAAAGCTTTTCAAGGAATTATCTAAATCTTTTCTGAAAATTATTAATTAATCTTCCAACACCATTTCAGGCAGTGCATTTTACATTATTAACAATTCACTGTAAAAAAAAAAGTGGCTCAAATCTACCAGTGTCAATGCTGAGAAAATTGGAAGGATGTGGAGAGACAGGTAGTGTTGAGGAAGCAGGTAGGCTACAGAAGGATTTGGGCAGTCTAGGAGAATGCGCAAAGAAGTGACAGATGGATTGCGATGTTGCAACATGAGAGTATGCACTTTTGTAGGCAGAATAGAGGCATAGACTATTTTCCAGGGGGAAAGGGCTTCTGAAATCTGAAGGACAAATGGACTTGGGGTCTTGGTTCAGGATTCTCTTCAGGTTAATATGCAGGTTCAATTGGCAGTTAGGAAGGCAAATGCAATGTTAGCATTCACTTTGAGAGGGCTAGAATACAAGAGCAGATGCACTGCTGAAGCTGTATAAGGATCTGGGCAGACCATATTTGGAATATTGTGAGCAGTTTTGGGCCCTGTGTCTAAGGAACAATGTGCTCACAGTCGAGGCCACCCAGACAAGGTTTACAAAAATGATTCTGGGGATGAAGGGCTTGTCTTATGAGGAGCTATTGAGGACTCTGAGTCTGTACTCAATGCAGTTTAGAGAGATGAGGTGGGGAATCTCAATGGAACATACAGAATACTGAGAGACATGGATAGAGTGGATGTGGAGAAGAGGTTTCCAATAGTTCAATTGTTGGAAGCTAGTCGGCAGATTGGAGAGGGATTTGGATGATTGGGGCGTAGACACATATTCAGGGGTGTGATTACTGGAGATGGAGAGACGGGGAAGCCTGGTTGTAGTGTTCAGTTGAGTTAAATTTTGTACCTAATGAGATAGACTAGGTATTAAACAGCATAATACTTCCTGGGTACGTATGCCATTAAGTTCCACTTATCTGGTCCAAGTCTCTGCTCTGAGCTAAGGTTTGGAGACAGTCACAGAAAGTGTAAAATTCCTGAACAAGTTCCACATATGCCTAAATGCCAGGACTTCCGAAACTTAGGTTTCATCACCTTGAATCCAGACATCAGAAGACTTACACCATCATCCAGATTTCTTTCTGGTTCTTTTGACAATAATCTTAAATCCATGTCCTTTGGTTTCGGGCCCTTTTTCCAACAAAAACAGTCGCTCCTTATTTATTCCAACAATCTATAAACACCTCTATTAACTCTCCAGTTAACTTTCTATACTCTAAGAATAATACCAGATTCTCTCATCTCTGTACAACACTGAATTCCCTGCCCTTCTGGAATCAGTCTGATAAATCTGATGTGTATCTTCTTCAAGGCTTTGAAATTCTTCCTAAAGTACAGTAAACTAGTCACTTTCAAAGAGAATTGGATATGTATTTGAAAGGTATACTTTGTATTCCCAAGAAAGACCTATGGGGTCTTTCACAGTGTGTATAGTGTTAACATACTGTGATTAAAGATTTACCTTAAGCAAATTGACTAATCAATCACCCTCAATCAAGGTTTGCATTTCACTTAAAACTGAACAAAAACGTCAATAAACTTTAGTTATCATGTAAAATTGATCTCAGTGCACTCTCTGCATCTACATTTAATTAAAAGTTAACAAAGTGCATGTCATTGTTAAAAGAGCTGTTTTAAACCCTTGGTGATCACCTGATTTGTGAAGGTTCATGCATAAGTAAGAAAAGTTTCTTTATCTTTTGGAATCTTCCATTTATCAGCATCTCCCAGTGAGTCAAATTGGGTCAATTATAATGTACCGAGATCTTGAAAGAGATTTCAACATTATCTTGTTGGCCTTGTTACAGCTCTTTCTATGATATTGTTGTCATTATACAAAAAGCTTATGGTGATGAATGCACAATGTAGTTATGCAGTCTTCGCTATGTAGGATGAGTTTCATGTCTATTTAAAAAGGAAACAGATTGCACCCTATTTACATGCAAACGCATTACCATAAATTAACCATCTTGCTGAAATATGTAAGTAAAAAAAAGCTTTAAAATGTCTAAAAGGATGATAAGGAGTTTGATTTGTCAATCTAATTTCCCAGAGCTTTTATTTCACAGCCTATGGTGAGTTTTTGGGGTCAGAGAATGAAGAGTATAGATTTCTCTTGGTCACATTCTGTGGAACTAATTGCAAATAGCCTTTCAGATTATTAAAATTATGAAATTAACTTTATTTATTCATTTGTGGGATGTGGACATCGCTGCTGGGCCAGCATTTATTGCCTGTCCCCAGTTGCCCTTGAGAAGGTGGTGGTGAGCTGCCTTCTTGAACCGCTGCAGTCCTCCTGCTCTGGGTTGACCCACAATGCCCGATGGCAATATATTTCTAAGTCAGGGTGGTGAGTGGTTTTGCGGGGAACTTGGAGGTGGTGGTGCTCCCATATACCTGCTGCCCTTGTCCTTCTAGATGAAAGTGGTCATGGGTTTGGAAGGTGCTGTCTGAGGATCTTTGGTGAATTTGAAAACTCAATAAGTAAAATTTTGTCAGTGAATCATCTAAATTAAGAATACAGTAAGCATGTTCACATACATCTTCCACTGAGCAGCTCATGTGCGTCTCTGCGTTGTTTCTTTTCCCTTTCTTTAGAAATATTTCTCCACAGTTTATTTGCTCCACTTAGTTTTGTTCTGCAAGAGTTGCTGTAGGTTCAGAATGTCAAGAGACAGCCTACTCCCAGGGCTACTGTCAAGACCAAACTGCAGCCATACATTGTGAGTTGTGTTTGAATTGCCAGTTTCCCAGGAAAAATTGGCCAAAGTCCAACTTTAATTATACAAGCAAGGTTATGGACTCTTCAAACTCAGGATGAAGAATGGTAGGAGTCAGAGACTCATTGATACATTTGGAGAGACATGCGTGGATGGTGCGAAGCATACATTTCCTGCAATAAAACTGAGCAGAAGAAAATTAAAGTGAGAAGACAAGTCATATAGATTAGGCCTGTATCCCCTTGAGATTAAAAGATTGAACAGCGATCTCACAGATGTGTTTAAGATGATTAAAGGGTTTTATGGGGTGGATAGAGGTAAGTGATTTCCAGAACAACAGAACATAACATTGTAATTAAATCCAAACCATTTAGCGTTGCTGTGAGAGAACAGTTCCTCACTCAAAAGATAGTGAAATTTTAGGACTCTGTCCTGAAAAAGGTGACAGGTGCAGGGTCAGGTCAAAATTTAAAAACTGAGATTGAAAGCTTTTGTTAGATAAGGGTGTAAGGAACATGGAACTAAAGTGTAGACTTAAAATACAGGCCAACAATGATCAAATTGAATAACATAATAATCTGAAGAGGGTGAGAAGCTCGCTACTGTTCCCAAATAGTGTGCTGGAAATTATTGCACGTTAACTCGTTTTTAATGGTACAAATGATCTGAAGTTGAACCTATTTTAAACAAAAACCAAAAGAACTGCCGATGCTGTAACTCAGGAACAAAAACAAAGTTGCTGGAAAAGCTCAGCAGGTCTGGCAGCATCTGTGAAGGAGAAAACAGAGTTAACGTTTCGGGTTTTCTCCTTCACAGATGCTGCCAGACCTGCTGAGCTTTTCCAGCAGCGCTGTTTTTGAACCTATTTTAAGTGTGTCTGAATGCTTTATTACCAAACCATATACTTAACATAAAACATTTTGAGATATCTTCTAATTTTCTTCAATCATGTCAGGCTAGTGATAATCAAAACAGTATAAAGTTATTACTGTGTGACTGAGTGTCACAATGGGGCCAATCCTACTGTAGATAAAGATTCCTTTCCCAAGCTAGAAACATTCTCCATCAATATTTCTTCAAACCTAAGTTTTGATGTATTGTTTTTACATGAGAACTATATAGATTGCCTTTTTACAAAAGCAGTTTAGGGTTCAAAGATATGAGACAAACTATTTTTGATGTACGTCCATTAACTTTGGTGAACAATACCGCAAATCATTTCAACAAGTCGCTAGTGTTCTTCATGGTTATGGAAGTCTGAATATTTGGATGAAGAAACTTGGTCTAGTTTCTAGTTTAAGTTCAGTTTCAGATAGTGTAGTCAGATGTTCAAAACAGTCACTTAAATTGCAGACAGAAATATGTGTCAGTGCTTGAACTGATTTTTTTTTTTTCTCTTTCTCTCCCCAGAGATCAGTGGCTTCAAGTTATAAAAAACCTACAGAGAAAAGTTTTCTGAGCCGTCAATCAAGCCTAAAGATAGATGAAACATTTGAAACTATTAATGAGCTCGGAACTCTGGAACTGATGACTAAAGATTTGGAGTTGACATCCTATGGACACATGAAAAAATCTGTATCTACAGACTCACTGAATTCCATATCTTCCATTGGTAATAACTTTGGCCATGACTTCACTGTTGGGCAAATTGAGATGTGCTTAGAATACAATATGAACTCAAACACCTTGCACGTCACTCTGGTACAAGGGAAAGATTTGCTTGAGAAAGAGGATGTCAATTTTGAATCTTGCTTCGTGCGCATCAGCTTACTGCCTGATGAGCAAATTGTTGGAATTTCTCGGGTAAGCTGGATGAATTTTCACTTTCACGCTTGACTGTGCAGGAATGGAGGTTAAAAGGATGATGATTTGATCTTTCAATTCAGACAGCAGAGAGTATTACATTCAGGGACAAACTGCCAGATTTATCTCCCAGGATTCCGTTTGACACTGAACACAATGGGTTAGGTTAATGATTGCTCCATGGCAGAAGTGGAAGAAGGGATTTCAGGGCAATGCAGGTCAAAGATCAGCTTAAGCAATCAAACCGATCATTCATAGCCACAGTAATGAGAATAACTAGATGACATGTTGTTCATTGATTGATCATTATTTTTTCGGTTCAGTCTCATCTTTGAGGAGACTGTTTTCTGCCGTCCTGTACCTGTAAGTCAGTTTGTTTTCACTTTACTTATTTTAAGCTACGATAAAAGTTTTGCTTGCTTTGAATTAAGTGCCAGCAATGCAGTTGCTGGTGCAATTGCAATGTACCACCCCATTTCGCAAAAAGTTCAATTTTGTGGAGCATGAAATATAAAATATTAATATTGAATATTAAAAAATGTCCACTTGTTTGCAAGGAAACTAGTTTCTCAAGAAGTGTCAGTAGGTTCAGTTTCGAAATGAGAGACATAGCTGAATCGATAACGCCCAGTTTACACTTTCACCCAGAGTCAAAGTTAATATATGCGATCAACTCCAGGATAGGTTGGTCAAAGTAATAATCCTGAGATCATAAAGAAAAGATTAAATTTAATAATGTGAAGGGTGCCTCTCGATGAATGGATTGAGATGGCCCACTGGAATCTCTCATCCTGCTTTAAGCAGAGGAAGACGAAACGGAAGGAGAGAAGAAATGTAAACAAAAGCAGAACCAGGACAGCAACAGCGGCTGTGGAAAGCATCACAAGAATCAACAGCATATTAAAATAGCATCTTGGAGCAAATTATTGCAGATGCTGGAAGCTGTACTGAAAACAATAAATGCTGGAGATCACAGCGGGTCAGACAGCATCCATGGAGAGAGAGCAAGCTAACATTTTGAGTCTAGATGGCTCATCGTAACATCAGCTTGCTCTCTCTCCATGGATGCTGTTTCACCCGCTGTGATCTCCAGCATTTGTTGTTTTCAGTATTTAAATATTACGTTGGAATTCAGTACATGTGCACATGGTGTCAATTTGGAAAGATGAATAGGTATAAAATTGTCAGAATTATTTCAGATAAAACAGGCCATGGGTGATTAACAATCTGGAATAACTGAATGTTATTTTTTTGCTAGTACAACTTTGTGTTGTTATTTTTAAGTTATAAAGTCCAATAAATTTATTCTTTCTTCAAAACTAGGCAGGAAGGAAGAAAGATTTGCATTAATATAGCAATTCGCTAGGTCACAGCCAATTGTTGAAGTACAGTCATTGTTGTAATGTGGGAGTCGAACAAACTTCACCCAGGAGTTTCAGCAGTGACTGCATCTTTTTGTTGAGGGGAATTCATTTAAATAGTAGAGGAGGTGTTTTAAACGTGAGAGGTAGTGGGATCGAAACTCGCATTCTGCACTCCATTTTTCATTGGGGCCAGTGGCTCAATGGATATCAGGTTTGACTAAGAATCAGAAGATTGTACATTTAACTCTTACCTTGCTTGAGTGCATTTTAAGTGAGTCATAATGGTGCAGTGGTAGTTTTTCCACTTCTAAAACAGAAGACACAGGTTCAAGTCTCATCTGCTCCAGAGGTGTGTCGTAACATTTCTGAACAGGCTGATTTGAAGATTGGCAATGAGTTAATGGCCAGATAGTCTGCTTTTGTGATGTTAATCAAGGGGCAAATACGGGGCTGGACCCAAAGGCTAACTCCCCTGCCCAGTTCAAAACTGTGCCAATGGAACCTTTCACATACACCTGAGAGAACAGAAAGGGCCTCGATTTGACATCTTATCCAAAATCTGGGACCTCTGACAGTTTTGCTCTTCTTCAGTAATGTTACTGGAGCATCTGTCTTGATTTTTCCCTCCTCAAGTTCTAGAGTGAGACTGGAACCTAAAAACTGCTGGCATGAGAGTGCTCCATCAACTGACTTATGACGAAAGCAGATTGCAAAGATGCTGAATTCGATTCAGAATTAATCCAAGTTCCTATCATGATCGTATGAACATGCGAAAGCAAAAAATTGGAAAAGATTACTGAGTTCTTCCTTCCATAAAATGTTGCGTCCCCCCCGCCACTCAAAAAAAAATCATTAGGTTTAGGCTGAGAGATGCAGCGGGAGTGTGAGGAACAACTTTTCTTTATGCAGAGAATGGTAATGACCTGGAGTTCATGCCAACTCAGTGACTGGATGCAGAAGAGCTGAATGACTTCAAGATTAAATTGCATGAGGGAAATAAACTTACAGCACTGTGGAGATAGAGAGGGGGCAGGGTGACTGATTTGAATGCTCAGTGGAGAGCTGGCATGGACTTGATAAGCTTAATGGCCTTCCTCTGTGTTACAGTGACACTGGTCAGAATTTCTTTACAGAAGCAATGGGCTCTCCCTCAACAGAAAAAAAATTGGGGGTGAACCCATCTCCAGAGAGCAAGGAAGGCAGGGCCTAGTTTAATGGTTGGTAAGCTGTTAAGCTCTTGAATTGATTTGATTTGATTTATTGTCACGTGGGCCGAAGTACAGTGAAAAGCTTTGTTTGTGAGCAGTACAGGCAGATCATAGTAACTGGGGGCATATACATCACAGGGTGAAAAAAAAATTGGACAGTGTAAGGCATATAGGTTATACTGCACAGGACTTGCAATATACAAGACCAACATTAACAAGATCAGCATTATTTGAAGTTAGACAGCCCATTCATCTGTCTCATAACGGCAAGGAAGAAGCTGTTCTTGAACCTGGTGGAGCGTGTGTTCAAGCTTCTGTATCTTCTACTCTGACTGTTCCCATTGCAATGATGTCCCACCTCTCGCTGATAGCTGTCAGGTGACTCTCCAGGTCTGACAGGGTCATGCTGCAGAGATCTATCACCAGGGTACACTGAAGGTTGGACTCAAGGGTGAGTCAGTGGGCAGCTTTGCCAGTGCCAGTCAGGCAGGGCACTGATCACAAGACCAGGGACTGGGAGCAAGCAAGGGTGCCAGTCTCCATTGAGGAGGGGCTGTGCCCAAACAGGGAGGGACGAATGCCCACCAGCCTGTAGTCTGGCCAGCAGTTTTTACCTGTTCATGCCACGTAGCATGGGTACCCACCTGTTGCTGGGTAGAACATCAATGGTGGCAGGGGTAGGTCCCGAAGTGGTGATTGGCTAAAGGACAGGCTGGCCACCTGGTACCTACCCCACTGTTGTCAATACACCAACAGAGGTGGGTAAATATCAGGCACAGTATCACCCCACTCCCCTCACATGTCATCCCACGTTGAGGGAAACACACAATTCAGGACCTTGACTTTATCACTCTCTCCTTGAAGTGGCAAAATTCAAAAGAAAAACAGATCAGTTTAGGATGACTGTATCCATACCATCAGATCCCAGATTTTAATTAGATCTGAAGCAATAGATCAGTGGTTTTCTAATCCTGTTATATATCAGAGTTTACAGACAGAGTGAGTGAGTTTTGCACATAAGCCATTGTCATCAACAATAAGAACTAGCCATCCCAGATAGGGAGACTCAGAAACTTTAGATTTTAGCTATACTGATCATTCACCCTTCAAATTAGTTGCTGGATACATGTAGAGAGAATTTCTTTTTAAGGTGAGGTATATTTTCCAGCAGAGTTCATCTTTTGTAACCAACCGGTGAGCAATGTAAAATGCCTGATTTCTCACAACGTACGGGAGTAGAAGCATTAACAAGGATACTTGTAACAAGTTATACATCAGAAGCACTTTCTCCTTAAGGGAGATGCTCTCTTTCTATAAGCAATTAGGACCTTTGAGATGAAACTAATCTCCATTACTGGGTTCAATAAATATTGTTACACATTTACATCTGAAAGGATCTTCCTGTTCATTAGGGGCAAGGAAATGCATCCTACAAAGGAATACTCCTCCCCACTAATAAAATAGGAGCAATGTCATATGGAGAATGTATTAATTCTGTGTTACCTGCAGTCTAATAGCAATTCCCATTGCATATTGATTCTGAGCGGCCACAAGGCCATGCAGCAGAATTACTGTGGTAGATCCCAGTCCCCACATGCCTCGCAGCAAGGCCAACAGTAAGTAATTTAATCAGTCATGTAGAACAGGTAGCATATATCAATGGGGCATGCTTACTTGCAAAGAACTGGTGGTAAGCTCTACGGAAATCCATTTGGTAGCTTTAGGATGCCAAGGTGCACAGTGGTTAATCCTTTTTGTGTCTTACCGATGGGAATTGAATCGTCTGCCATCTGAATTAAGTTGTTTTTGAACTCTTATCAGTTGTGTCACTGTTCAAGCCCCGCCAACAGACCAGCCATCAGCATATCAATACAAATGTATATTTGCTACATTTCCTCTGCTGGTTGTCAATGCAGGCAAAAACGCTGTCACATGCCTGTAGTGATTCGAAGATATGTGTTTCTGCTCTGTATCAGGTGTATAACTTTCTCGCTTCCCGACGCCGTTTTCCTTTCTGATACAGCGCATCAGGAACACTGTTATATTACAGCACATCCATCTGTCCTGCAGTAACGAGGAACATAACTGAAGGTTATATTACTGTGAACTCATCCCTTTAGTAGCCCGATTATTATAATGGATAATATAATGGATAATATGGACCATTAAAATGGAGTTTGTTTTGCAAAAAGTGCACAGGACTGAAGACACACAAAAAAATGGACTTGATCGAAGTTGCTTAGGTGTGAGTTAGAATGACTTTTTGAATCTCACCTCCTGAACAACAGTGGAGCTGTGGTTTGCTGTCATGGATTTCCTGCCAGAGATAATTTGTTTGTTTGTTCTGATCTTTGGCACGCTGACCTTGCCCTGTCACGCCTTCTTTTAACCTTTGCCAATTAGGAACTGCTCCTCGTCAAGGTACAACTCTGCTATTTCCCGAATAACCACAGTTCTGGTTTTGTAACAAGTGTCAGAATGATGTGACCCTCCAAAGTCAGATACACCATAAATGAGATGCAATCAATGTGTACAGCTGTTATTTTTTTGACACGGAAAAAATCTTTGCAAGTTCGAAATAGTCTCATTTCTCAGTGTCCTATTTTCCAAAGACCTCGGTAGCTACTTGAGTATTCCTTCATTGTTTCATGCAGATTTTCAACGAGTGCTGAAAATTAAATGGATGACATGAAAAGGAACCTTAGCCAGCTTTTACTCTCCCTTGGGACTTGAGTAGGCAGCAGACTGACACATTTCCTTCAATTACCGTTGCATTCGCTTGCAAGCACCTATTTGTCATGCACTTCACACGATGAGCTCACTGTCTTCTGAATGTTTGCCAATTACAGTATTTGCGGAGAGCTAAGTTTTTGCATTTTATTAAGAATCAGGGCAGATTCTTTGTCTCAACTGTCCCCATCACTTTCCATTGACTGGGAGCTATCTCAATAACGGAAATGATTCCTGACACCAGCTGACGTTTCGGGAACAGGGTGATTATCTTGTGCTCAGAATGTAGATTATGCTGACAGGGTAGTGAGCACTCCATCTCTCCTGCCACACTAAAGAACTTTAAAAACAATTGTGGACTTCATTCCCATCCAAGTCTCCCCACCAACCAAATTGGGGTGGCACCGTGGTTCGCACTGCTGCCTCACAGTGCCAGGGACCTGGGTGTGGTCCCAGCCTCGGGTGACTGTGTGGAGTTTACACATTGTCCCTGTGTTTGTTCCAGTTTTAGTCCCAAAGTCCAAAGATGTGCAGGTTAGGTGGACTGGCCATGCTAAATTGCTCCATAGTGTGCAAGGATGTGCAGGCTAAGTGGGTTAGCCATGGGAAATTCAGGGTTGCATGAATGGAGGTGGGTCTGGGTGGAATGGTCTTCAGAGGGTTGATTTGGATGCAATCGACTGATTGACAGCTTCCACGCTGTAGGGATTCTATCATTATGGCATGCGGGGAGAAATACTGGGGTCATTTGAGTTTGTTGAGCTTTAATAGGCTCAAATGGCCCTTAATTATTTATTTATATACTTGGGTAAACTGCTGAATTTGGCATCCACCCAACTCTCTGCATTATGGAGGAGACTGGGAATGTGTGGGGATGGGGTTCAACCATTCAGCCAATATACATTATCCCCATCCCCAACACTGCTGAAGGGTGCATGTGATTTCCAACCTATGGTTTTCTTTTAAATTCCATATCGTGTCACCAAACCAGAACTACAGAGAATGGGTTATACTGTAAATTAAAACAGATTTAAGATGTTATTTTTCTTCAAATATTGTTTCAGGAAGTTTTTTTGGATAATATTCATAATTCCATTGGGAAGTATGTAAAAATCTCAGTGTGAAATTCATTTTTTAAAAATTTTATTCATAGGATATGGGCATTGCTTGTTAGGCCAGCATTTATTGCCCATCCCCAATTGCCCTGAAGAAGTTCCTGGAGAATTGCCTTCTTGAATTGCTGCAGTCCTTGGGGGTGTAGGGATGCCAAGAGTGCTATCAGGAAGGGAGTTTGAGGATTTTGACCCAATATCAATGAAGGAACAGCGATACAGTTCCAAGTCAGGATGGTGTGGGGTCTTGAGGGGAGTTGGTCCTGTTCCCAGACATCTGCCGCCGAAGCCCTCATTAATAGTAGAAATCACAGCTTTGGAAGGTACTGGTATTTGTTGCTAGCATCAGGCAATTGTAAAATGTAATTGTAAAAGGCAGTTGTAAATTGTAAAATATCATCAGTGCACCTTGATACACAGGGACGGACAATTTTTGTTTGACTCACTAGGAGGAGAAAATTACTTTATGATAGAGAAATTGCTCTAATAATAGGATACTAGAGGCACAGTGTAGACTAGAATTATTTTGAGTTGTCACCAAGGCACAAATTGGTTTATTTCTGCTTTATATCATTTGTGAACACCACAGGTGGTATAACTTGATAGACGAAATATGTCTGAAGATGACATTTCGTGTAGAATCACTGCTGAGCTAAATCGCTAATGAGATCACATCTGAAGGACGTAGCTGAGGAAATAAAAGACATAAGCAAGTAGGCGACAGTATTCCCATTTGCACCACAGGAGAGTTGGATGACACTTTATGTAATATTTAGGGAAAAGGGAACAAGACACAGTGCAACTAAGAACATAAGTACACAATTCATGTGGTTATTTGATATAAGCCCAGTGAAGTGAACTGGTGACCAGTGAGGTTCCGCAGGGGTCAGTGTTGGAACCACAACTAGTCACATTATATGTTAACATTTTGAACAAAGGAACTGAGGGCATTGTTGCTAAGTTTGCAGATGTCACAATGATATGTGGAGGGACTGGTATTGTTGAGGAAGTGGGGAGCAAGCAGAAGGATTTGGATAGGCTAGGGGAGTGGGCAAAGAAGTGGCAGATGGAATACACTTGGAAAGTATGAGGTTATACATTTTGTTAGGAAGAATAGATGCATTGACTATTTTCTAAACGATAAAAGGCTTTGGAAATCTAAAGCATAAAGGGGCATAGGAGTCCAAGTTCAGGGATGGGCACCAAATGCTAACCTTACCAGCAATACCAACAATCCCATTGAGGAATTTAGAATGTCTATCTCTTTTCTTCTAATACTAATGAAGCAATATCTCATTTTTTGCACTGAGTTCTTTGATGGCTGATAAAGAGTACAGATTGAACAACGGATCCCAAATAGTACAGCTTGATTTTTCGGTCACAAGTTCCTAAGCTGGTATTTACATTCAGCACCAGCAAGGCAATGGATGTCATACTACAAGGTGCCTTCATTATTTGCTTGCTCGTCGTGCTCTCTTATCTTGAGCAAAGGGTCTATGTTGCGCTTTTTCAGTTTCTTTGAAGTCATTTTCATGCTTTTATCACTAACCAACACAAAATCACTTCCCAGTTGTTAATCCACCATTAAAAATCTTCTTCCAGGTTCTTTTGTCAGACATTTGCACGTTAAGCATACATCAACTACAGTCATCCCTCAACACCTCTCCTCTGCTATATCACCTTCTGAGCCAGGAGGTGCCTTAAAAACATAGAATGCTAAACATGTTGTATGCATTGCCAATAACCAAGTCTGGAGGAACCAATGCCCAGATCTTTAAGTTGGCTGGGTATGGCTAGCTTAGTAGCTTGGCTTTCTTAGAAGTTCATAGCTGTCATTCCTTGTCTGCAGCACAAGAATGTTGTCAGTCAATCCTACCTGAAAAGCTTTGTTTGGACAGTCAAGTCAATCTGAAATGCTGCAATGAAGCATCTAAATCTCCTCAAAATGGAATGTATTTGGCATCCTTCAAATGCATATCAAGTAATAATGAATGCATTGTAATATTTGTATTACTTGGAAATTATCAGTGTTTATTATATTACACAGAGTAACTCTGTGCTGTCGAGATTATTGCAGTGTTACTGTGTAATATTATGGCCTTGCTGTAGCCTTAGAAACTCATGTTTTAATGTTATTATAATTTTAAAGATTGTTAGTCACAGCTCTCTAAGTACAGTTTATTTAAAACAGAGGGTCAACAGATTTAAAGGAAGGCATCTCACATTTAAATGAACAGAGACTTGGTTGTGGCATTAATGTGTCAAGGGAACATTTGGTTTATCCATAAAGGTTTGCATTCTGAAGATGAACCTAGTTTAGTCTCAGGAACAGTTAAAAAGGGTCAGACCCATTGCACTAAGGCTAATGATAGGTTTTGTTTGAAAGTTGTACTCACTGCTGGAAGATGACAATCAGAAATATCAGCACCATGCAACAACATTAAAATGTGCTATGGTTTTCATTTGGAGCCATGAGATTTGAGGCCAGTGAAATTGCAAATGATCTTGGATGATCAGGGACAGAGTTGAGATGATCCCAGAACACTGTGATCACAAACTGAAATACAAATTATTACCTCAAGCTACACCCTTTCTTTTGCGTAGATTCAGAGAAATGCATTCTCTGTCTTCTTTGATGAGAAGTTTTCCATTCCGCTGGACCCCTCTGCTCTCGAGGAGAACAGTCTACGCTTTTCAGTATTTGGAATTGACGAAGATGACAGAAACATCAGCACAGGGTTGGCAGACCTGAAGCTGTCAGATCTGGATCTCAGCTGCCGTGCCTTCAATACTTGGCTTTATCTGCAGGATGTCAATAAGGTGAGAGAAACACAAAACAAATAACGTTCAGCAGGGGACATTTACACAGTGCCATGTGTTTCATTCATTAACATATTAACAATGTATTTAGCACAGGCTGGGAAATGTCCCAAGCTAGTTGCTAGAATCACTCGAGGTGATAATAACTATTTAATAACAATAAAGATGGAATTAAAACTGATCAGGATTAAGGACATTAATGTCTTACATTATGATAGTGAGATGAAATTAGTGATCATAGTTACAGGGACTGAGATGTTATTTATCCAACAATAAGGGGTATAACTGCTTTATCCTTGTAATGGCCACAGGGGATGTGAATGCACCACAAAGTAAACTGATCTACAAGCTGGAAAACAAATCAACTTGTCAAACATTACTGTGCCTAATGCTGATTTTCATTTTGTTGGGTCACTGAACTGTTATATGGACGACTGACCATACTTCTGTCTGTTAGGCAACGGACACAGTTGGAGAGATCCTGCTCTCTCTCAGTTACTTACCTACAGCAGAGAGGCTGACAGTAGTGGTGGTCAAAGCCAAAAATCTAGTCTGGAACAATGGAAAGACCACGTCTGGTAAGTGAAGCAGGTGGGGTCGAATCAGGTTGTAAGCAATACTTCTCAAAACATCCAGTAGAATTTAATGCAGTGCCTGATGCTCCACAGTTTCACGGGACTTGCTGGTAAATCCTCAAAACCCAGTTATTATTTACTTCACATTAGAAATCCCCCACTATCAACATGCTGAGGGTTACTATTGCCCATAAACTCAACTGGGCTCACCACATAAACTACAAGAGCAGGTCAGAGGCTTGGAATATTGATCCCCCAAAGCCTGCCCATCATCCACAAGGCACAAGTCAGGAGTGTGATGGAATGCTCCCACATGCTTGGATGAATTTTGCTCCAACAGCACTCAAGACGTTAGACACTATCCAGGACAAAACAATCGCTTGATTGGCACCTTGTCCACAGACATCCACTCCCTCCACCACCAATGCTCAGTAACAGCAGTGTGTACTATTTACAAGATGCACTGCAGAAATTTACCAAAGATCCTTAGACATCACCTTCCAAACCCATGATAAGTAAGCTTGTGCATGGCACAAAGATTGGCTAGATGGTCGACAGTGAGGAGGAAAGTGTTAGTTTACAGGAGGATTTAAATGGATTGCTCAGATGGGCACATACGTGGTGAATGGAATTTAACCCTGATAAATGAGAGTTGCTGCACTTTGGAAAAAAAGAACAAGGCAAGGGAGTACTCAGTAAATGGCAAGACCCTAGGAAGTTCAGAGGAACCGAGGGACCTTGGGGTGCTTATCAACACATTCCTGAAGGTGTCAGGACAGGTTAATAGGGTAATAAAAGAGGTATATGAGATGCTTGCCTTTACTAGTTGTGGCATTAGAACAGGGAGGATGTCTTGGAGCTGTACAGAACTTTGGTTAGGCCCCAGCTGGAACACTATGTGTAGCTCTGGTCACCACACTCTAGGAAGGATGTAATTGCACTGTAGGGGTTGCAGAAGAGGTTCACCAGGATATTGTCTGGGAAGGAGCATTTCAGCAATGAAGAGAGGCCTGATAAGCTTGGGTTCATTTATTTGGAGTAGAGGAGGAACCCAATAAAGGTGTGTAAGGGGCATTGGCAGGGTGAATAGAAAGCAGGTGTTCCCATTAGTGGAAAGGTCAATAACAAAGGGGAATAACTTTAAACTGAAAGATAGAAGGTTTAGAGGGAATTTGAAGAAAAACATTGGCGGTAAGAATCTGGAATGCACTACCTGGCAAGGAAGTTGAGGCAGGAGGCCACAAAACCTTTAAAAGATACTTGGAGAAGCACTTGATATGTCCTAATAGTCAAGGCTATGGCCTTAGTGTGAGAAAGTGGAATTAATGTAGGTGGCGGTATGTTTCTGGTAGTACAGACTCGACAGCCCGAAGGGCCTGTTCTGTGCTGTACGATTCTGTGATACTTCTTAAAAAAAAAAATTCTGTAGATTGCAACACAGACAACACAATCTAGTGACAAGAATAAAGTAACTGGGTCAGCTAGGTGGGTGGACTAATGGCTGCAGATAGATTTTAACATGGAAGATGTTTTAACACCTCTGTTCTCAGAGGCTGGTTAAATATTCCATCAAAGAAATAGTGAAAGGGTAAGGTGAGAAGGCAGATTCACTGCTTAAAGAAACACAATGCACCCTATACAGAGGAAGGTAAGAAGGTTGAACTTGCTGAGACTAACGGAACTAATATGAGCTCAATTTTACTTGATTGTAAAAGCATTTTACAGCAAATTGGTCTCCAAGGAAGTAACTGTAAAATGACAAGCCCACTGGCAATTACCTTTCCAATTTTTTCCAAGAATTTTTTTATGCATTAGATGCAGGCTAAAGTACTTTTCAGCTTGCTAAGTGCTGCGTACTAATTATCATCTTCAATTTCTCACTGCAATCCAGGTACCAGGATAGCACTGATGTTATTCAAATACAAGCAGCTTTGAACCCACCCCTTCAGAAACTTCCGTTTATCTGTTTTCAAATTATAGGTTTCATATTTTCAGAAGTAACTCTGAAAATAGAAACTTTCAGCATGTTTTGCGAATAACTATCAATCAAAGTGCCACTTGGCAATGCTGATTTAATGCGCTGAATATTCCTCTTCCTTTGGAGATGAAAGGAGGAGGACTGACAAAATGACCAGGGCGGCATGGTAGCTAGTGGTTAGCGGTGTCAAGGGCCTGGGTTCAATTCCAGCCACAGGCCTCTGGCTGTGCGGAGTTTGCACGTTCTCCCCATGTCTGTGTGGGTTTCCTCTAGATGCACTGGTTTCCTCCCACAGTCCAAAGATGGTTAGGTGGATAGGCCGTGCTAAATTGCGCAGTGTCCATGGATGCACAATCTAGGTGGATTAACCATGGGAATGCAGGGTTACAAGGATAGGGTAGGGGAGAGGTGGGTCTGGGAAGAACGCTATTCGGAGGGTTGGGTGGACTCAATGGGCCAGCATTTAATGATACTATGACTGCAGAAAGGAAAACCAATATCTTGCTGCTATCATGCCACATTGCCAATGGTGAGGAAAATTGGGAGTTCAGATGTCCATCTCAGCAGACATTTTGCCCACATCAGGAGGGCTTACTGCCATGTGGAGAGATTGCCAGGTGAAACTTGGTGTCTTCCCAGTGGGTATTGATGGGAATATCCACCATGGGTAATCCATGTCCCATAGAGGGAGTACACAGTGATACTGTCTGTCTTTGCAGCAATGGTACTGTTCAGCAACACCCACTCTCTTTCTGTCCAAATTATTGGGCCCTTGTTGACCAAACATGGTATCCCCCCAACTTAACACAGCTGTTTTCAAGCATGCCTCGCCCTTGTGATGCTCTCTTCCAGGAGCTAGACCCTCCGACTGGCCATGGCAACACATGGTCACTCTGAGTGGGGACCTTGCTTAATTGGAAAATTGGTCTGGTGGGAGGCTCTTAATTAACTATTGACTGTCCCTGCTGACAGCAGAACAGGGTCATATCACCCTCTTCATTTGCAGCAATGGGGCTTTCTTTTCCAGCCCAAATCAATCCAATGAAACTAACTCTTGGAGGTGCAAACTGGTGGTGAAATTCCTATGACATGAGACTACCTAATTCATTAAATGTAATTAGTCAATGCTGCATTTGATTATGTAGTTTGATCATGTTGATTCTGTGTATCCTATGAGTATTCATTATATCAAATGTGGGTTGATCCTGCTTGTGTTCACTTTCTGGAATGTGGGTTTATTCTTGTCAGTATTCACTGTCTGCCATATGAGTGATCACACTGATGGATTTTGCATCAGTTAATTTTAGCAACTTTCTTATAGAAAAAACTGTCTCTTTCAACACTGCTCCTTCTTCATCATAAATTGTATGGAAATTTTTGGTATGAATTAATTTTGCTTTTGTAACAAAGTCCAACATTTCACAATACTTGAACGAATGATGTCAAAAGGAGGCATTTTTAGTACCAGATTAATACATTACCAGGATGATATTTAATTAGGTTGGCAGAAATTGACAAGTTCCAAAAACCAGTTTTGTTATAATTTATGTTATCCAATAGAGAATTAGCAGCATATTCACAACTATATGTTATTATAAGAGACAGAATGTCAGCAAAAGAGACAAAAATATGCTAGGAAAAGGTAGAGCAGGTAGCTCTGTTAATTAAGGACATCATCAGTACTGTAATGAGAGATTATCTTAATTCAAAAGAGCAGGTTTGGATACAGATACCAACAGGAAAGATAAGAGGTCAGTTGTGGGAGTTGTTTATAGGCCCTTTAGTTTTAGTTACAATGTAGGACAACAGTACAAAAGAAGAGGTTAATGGGACATGTAAGAAAACTATCACTATAATCATGAGTGACTTTAATCTAAATGTAGATTGAGTGAATGAGATTGATAAAGTTAACTGGACTGTATTCAGGACAATTTCTTAGAGCCATACATTCTAGGAACAGCCAGCAAGTAAACTATCCTAGACCTGGCAAGTGTAATGAGACAGAATTAATCAATTACCTGTTGACAGGGGGGCCTCTAAGTAACGGTGGTCACAACATGATATAGAACTTTACATTCAGTTTGAAGGGGAGAAATGTGGTTCTAAGTCTCACATTTTAAACCTGAATAAAATAATTATTAAGGGTATTGAGGTAGTGCTAGCTAAAGCAAACTGGGAAACTAGATTGAAAGGTCAGATCTTAGAAATGGAGAAGCAGACTTTTAAGAAGATGCTTAATAAGTGGCAGCAAAGATTTATGCTTCCAAGAAAGAAAGGCTGTTTGAGGAGGATGCAACATCTGTTGTTGAATTAGCAAGTTAAGGATCATATCAAATTGAGAATAAAAAAAAACACTGCGCAATTCTGCAAATGTAACCAGTCATATTTTAAGAAAGCACAAGGAATGACAAAAAAAGGAAATAAAAATCAGATTATGAGATATCGAGCTAGTAGTATAAAAACAGACAGTAAGAGTTTCTACAAGTATTTAAATAGGAAAAGAGTAACTAAAGCTGATATTCCTCCTCAAGAGAATTAAACTGGTAAATTAATGATGGGAAACAACGAAATGGCTGAGGGGATGGACAGATATTTTGTGATTGTCTTCACTGTAGAAGACATAGAAAATGTCCAAAAATTAATTGAAAATCATGAAGTGAATTGACAATCATAATGTTACTGGGAATGAGCAATGTAAAACAATCACCATCACCAGGGAAAACAATTCAAAGTAAAGGCTGAGAAGCCCACAGGAACGAATAGCCTGCATGTTGAGGTCTGAAAGAAACGGCTGCAAAGAAAAATGATGCATTGGTCACAATCTTCCAAAATCCCTTAGAATGTGGAAGGGTCCCAATGGTGAAAATGGCAGTTGGTTCATCTTATTTAAGAAAACTAATGGGAAACAGAAAATACACAAGAATGAACTTTTTGTGGTTGGTCAGATGTAACAAGTGCTGTGCCACAGGGATCAATGCTGGGGCCCCAACTCTTTTTGATTTATATAAATTATTTGAATGAAAAGGGTGATGGGATGGTTGCTAAGTTTGCTGATGACCCAAGGTTAGGTTAGGTGTGGAGGCAAAGATGTGATAAATGGAGCAAAATATGGAATTGTCCATTTTTACATGTGTAAGAAAAAAAGCATGTTATCTAAATGGTGAGGGATTATAGAACAGTGGGCTGTATGTGTCCTAATGTTTGAATAGCAGAAGGCCAATTTGCTGGTGCAGAAAGTGACTAGGAAAGCTCATGGATTTTGTTTTTATGAGAGGAATTGAATAAAAGAGTAGGGAAGTTATGCTTAAGTTATCCAGGACACTGGTGAGACCACATCTGGAGTACTGTGTACAGTACTGGTCACCTTATTTAAGAAAGGATGTTAAATGCATTGGAATGCACTTCAGAGAAGGTTTACCAAACTAATACCTGGAATGGACGTGTTGTCTTATAAGGAAAGGCCACTAGTGAAAGCCTTTTGGTGATGGGAATTTCTACTTGCTTGAATCATATAGGTTGTGTGGGGCCTTGACAGGGATGTGAAAAAGATGTTTCCTCTCGTGGGACAGTTTAGAACTAAAATTCACCATTTAACAACAAGAGGGTGCCATTTAAAACAGAAGAGATGAAATATTTTCATAGAATCCCTACAGTGTGGAAGCAGGCCATTCGGCCCATCGAGTCCACACTGACCCTCTAAAGATCATCCTACACAGACCACCCCTGCAACCCTGCATTTTCCTATGGCTAACCCACTAACCTGCACATCCCTGGACATGATGGACAATTTAACATGGCCATGGGACTGTGGGAGGAAACCCATGCAGATTCTGCACAGACAGCTGCTCAAGGCTGGAATCAAACCCAGGCCCCAGGTGCTGTGAGGATACAGTGCTAACCAATGGGCCACCGTGCCATTTTCTTTCCAAAAGAGTGTTGGTAATAGGGTTCTTGAATATGTTAAGGCAGAGCTGGATAGATTCTTGGCAAGGAAGGGGTTGAAAGGTTGTAGGGTAGATGGAAATGCGGATATGTTGTTACAATCAGATCAGCCATGATCCTATTAGATGGTGGAACAGGATCAAGGGATCAAATCTTCTACCCCAATCCTCATACGCTCCCATCTAAAAGGGGAGACAGAAAGCAGGTGAATAAACCTTAGTTAGCCTAGTATCTGTCACAGGGAATTCATTGTAAAGGAAGTTTAGCAGGATGCTTAAAATATCATCATGGATTTGTGAAAGAAAAATGTGTTTAACTAATTTACTTTTTTGAGCAGGTAAGATGGGTAAAGGGGACCCTGGAGATATAATATATTTAGATTTCCAAAAGGAATTTTATAAAGTGCCATATTAAAAGTTACTGCACAAGATAAAAGCTCATGATTTTGGAAGTAACAAATTAGCATTGATAAAGGACCAGTTAACAGAAAGCAGACAGAATGGGTTATTGGAAATTTTTCAGACTGGTAAACTGTGACTAGTGGAGGGATCAGTGTGGGGGCCCCAACTATTTACAATGACTGAACAAACAGAGACAAACAGTAGCTGAATAATGGCCTACCTTCAAGGTATACTCCGACAAACAAGAAAGGTAGGACAAACAAATCCAGATCTCCCTGGAGCACGAAGGAGATAGGAATTAAGGTAAAGAGATAATCTGCTTCAGAAGGTTTTAGGCAGTAAATACAATTGCAAACCATGCTTAATACAGGTGTTCAGAAGAAAGTTGAGAAAGCGAATATGATAAGCAAAGAGGAATTGTGAAAAAAGGCTGGCAGCTAACATTAAAGGAAATTTGAAAAGTCTTCTATAAGAGCATCAGTAATAAAAGAATGGTAAAAGAATGAGTCTGGTGAATAAAGACCAAAAAGGGGCTTTACACTTCAAGGCAAGTGGCATGGCTGAGGTTTTAAATTAATATTTTGAATGTGTCTTTACCCATGAGGCAGATGTAGCCCAACTGAGTGTGACAGAGGAGGAAATTCAGTCACTAGAAAGGGTTTAAAATTGATTAGGAGGAGGTATTGGGTAAGCTGTTGGTATTTTAAAGTTGAATAAGGGACCAGAAATGGGATGAGATGAATATTGAAGGATATTGAGTGTGGAAATTACAGAGGTACTGGTAATTATATTTCAGTCTTCCCTGAATTTGGGGGTGGAAATTCCCCAGGAGTCAGGCTATTTCTGATATATAAAAATCATCTAGATTTTGGCATGCAGGGCATAATTTCAAAGTTTGCAAACAACACGAAAATTGAAAGAATTCTAAACTGTGAAGAGGACAGTGTAGAACTTCAAAAGGATGTTGATGCAACTGGCAGATGGCTAGCAGATAAGTTTCAATGCAAAGAAGTGTGAGGTGATGTATTTTTGGTATAAAGAATATGAAAAGACAATATAAAAGAAGGGGAAATTGCTGGAAAAGCTCAGCAGGTCTGGCAGCATCTGTGGAGAGGAAAGGTCACTTTGACCTGAAATGTTAATTCTGATTTCTCTCCACAGATGCTGCCAGACCTGCTGAGTTTCTATGTTTGTTTCAGATTTACAGCATCCACAATTCTTTTGGTTTCTATAAAAGAAGGGGAACTGTTCCAAATGGTATGCAGGAGCAGAGAGACTTGGGTGTGTCCATACATAAATCCATAAAGATAGCAGAACAGGTATAAACAGCTGTAAATTAACTATGTAGTATTCTTGGCTTCATAAGGAGTGGCATAGAATACATATACTTGGAGGGTATGTTGAATTTACTTATATAAGACATTGATTAGATTTCATCTGGAATATTGCGTGCAGTTCTGGGCAACTCACTATGGGAGGGATGTAAATGCACTGGAGAGTGTGCAGAAGAGGTTTATGAGAATAGTTCCAGGATGAGGCATTACAGTTTTGATTGGCAATGTTATTATCCTTTGAGAGGAGAAGGCGAAGATGAGATTTGAAAGAAGTTTTTAATAGCATGAGATGTCGGAACTGAACAGATAAGGAGAAACTTGCACATGGATCGAAAACAAAAGGGTACAGCTTTAGAGTGCTTGTCCACAAGAATTGAACGTGAGGTGAGGAAAAAAAACCTTTTCACTCAGCAAGTAGTTAGGGCCCGAATGCACTGTCTAGAAGTTTGGTGGAGGCATGTTCAATTCACACACTTGAGCACATCAGATGATCATTTAAATAGAAACAGTGTGCAGGGTTATGGGAAAAAGGCAAGAGCATGCCAATAAGTAAAACGCTCAGACAGCCAATGCAGGTACTGGAGGGACTGAATCACAATTCTGGGATTCTGCTTCTGTGATAATGTGGGAAAATATGGCAGGGAGAATAAAAAAATGCAGCATACTATTTAAATGGAGAGAGATCACAAAAATCAGTCATACAGGGGGATTTGCATGTCCTGGTGTATGAATCGCAAAACGTTCACATGTTGGTACAGCAAGTGATTAGGGAGACGTGGAATGTTGTCACTTATTACAAGAGGAATGCAATATAAAATTAGGCAAATTCAACTGCAGCTTTACTTGGCCTTGGTGAGACCACATTTGGAGAACTGTGTACAATTTTGGTTTCCTTAATGGGAAAGAAAATGTAATTTCATTGGAAGTAGTTCAGAGAAAGCTCACGCATTTCTGGGATCAAGGACTGATCTTACAAAGAGACATTGAACTGATTGGGCCTATGCTCATCTGAGTTTAGTGGAATGAGAGGTGAACTTATTGATGTATAAAAGCTCATGGGAGGACTTAATAGGGTGGTTATTGGGAATTATGTTTCCTCCTGTGGGGAAGACTAGAACTAGGGGACACATTAAAACAATGATGAGGAGAAATCCTATCTATCAGCGTCATTCCATGGAATCCTCTTCCCTAGCAAGCAGTGGAGGGTGGGTCATTAAATTTGTTCAAAATAGAGTTGGATAGATTTCAATAGACAAGGGAAACAAAATAAAGGGTTAGGGGAAACAGGAATGTGGAGTGAAAATCACAACCAGAATTATGGTCTTATTAAATAGTGATGTGGAGGTGCCAGCGTTGGACTGGGGTGGGCAAGGTCAGAAGTCAGATAACACCAGGTTATAGTCCAACAGGTTTATTTGAAATCACAAGCTTTTGGAACATTGTCCCTTTATCAGGTGACCTGTTGGACTGTAACCCAGTGTTGTCTGACTTCTGACCTTATATAATGGTAAAGTAGGCTTGAAGGGTGAATGACCCACTCGCCCTCCAAAATCCTACGTTCCTACTCTTTCCTCTACCTCAGAATATATTTATTTATAATAAGAATTTTAATTTTCACATATAATATCACCCCGTCTGTCCTTTACATGGCTCTGTACAGATCCATTTGTGAAAGTTTATCTCCTTCAAGACACGAGGAAAATAAGTAAGAAAAAGACAGCAGTGAAGAGAGATGATCCTAATCCTGTTTTCAATGAGGCCATGATATTTTCTGTACCTGCAATTGTTCTACAGGTAAGAATCCAGCATATTGACTGTTCTTTTTTGTCCTCCCCATAGGGTCCATTACTTATTCTGTGTGTGTGATAGTTAATTTCTTTCTGATATGTGTTGGACTGGAGCCAAGGAGATGTCCAAAGGAATGGCTGATCATGGGAGAACTATGTGTCATTTAGTATAAATAACCGTTGGCGCAAAACTGATTGATGTAGGCTCTTCAGTATCCCTTGATTCTATTTTATAGATATCACTGCTAAGATTTCACACAAGCTACTGTATCATCATTGTCTTGCAGCTTAGTCAACATAGATTAATTTCAATATCATAATAAATAAGCACTGATGTGAGAAATAGATGGGCTAAACTGATTTACAGTCTTTCTGAGCTAAATGTAGAAATTGAGTCCACTGTGGCCTGTTATCTGTTGGAGGCTGAAAATATGTCTAACTATGCTGAGCATCAACAGCATCGTCCGTTGCTGAACCATTACAGCACTGACTTGACTTCAGAAGTATTTCGTCGGCTGTGAAACACCGGGATGTCCGAGTTGATCAAAGATGCCATATAAATGCTGGCAAATGGGACTAGACTAAATTAGGACATCTGGTCAGCATGGACAAGTTGGACTAAAGAGTCTGTTTCCGTGCTGTACACTCTGACTCTAAATGCAAGTCTTTCCTTTCCAGACTGGGTGTAATAATTAACGGATTTAATTTGAAGATAGTATCCAGTAGAGCTCACTATCTATCATTCTGTCACATCCAGATACAATCTGGTGCAACTTCTATTTTATTTCCAGTTCTAATGCAGTAAATCTTATGTATAAATGATTTTATCGTATAAATGAACAGAATTAGTAAACATTATAGAAAAGACTTGCTTCTCAGCTTGTTCTTCTCTTAGCCAGTGCAGAAACTAAAGGGAAGACGCATCCCAAAGCAATCCATATATTAGTGACAAGTAGGGATTTCAACAGAAAAGATTAGTTTTAACATCCAGCATCTAATCTTTGCCACCGAATTAAAGTAGGTAAACCATGTTAACACCATTATGCCACTCAATAAGTGATGAGGACAATATTAATTACACACACACACACACACCTCCCTCAATGAAGAATGCCTTTGAATACTTTCACTGAAGCATATCATAACAGGACACTGCAATCCCCAATTCTCTCGAGTTTAAATGACCTATGAATTTTGTTGTGGCTCAGGAATTATCGCTGAGAATAACAGTGGCTGAATGCAGTGAAGATGGAAGAACTGAGAACATAGGACACGTAATCATTGGGCCTGAGACCAGTGGGATGGGCGGCACTCATTGGAATCAGATGCTGGCAACATTAAGGAAACCCGTCTCCATGTGGCACGCTCTCCGAAAGAAATAAAGCAAAGCAACAATGACGTGTTCTTGACACATATGTAAATATTTTGCATGGTGACTAAATTCTTACACTTTATTGCTGATGCTTTGGGAAATTCAAGTTTGAGACACTAATTTTCCTTTCACTTTATTGACTTGCATCAGCCTTGTACTGGAAAATGTGTAGCAGGATAGTGGAAGAGCCAACTATAAATCACAATGAACTTGGTTTGATAAATGAATGCATCGATAACAAGAGCTACTGTGAAGTTGCTATCCTACTGTGTGCTTCATATTGAATGGTTCATATACAGATAAAGAATGGTTAAAGATAATAAAGAGGTAATTGTCTGATATTATTACCCATTCAGAAAGCAGAGCTATGTTAGCCCTAGACCTACAAACAATCCCACGTATTAACACTGGACTAAATCCTTTCCTAAATATTTGCCTTTTTCAAAATATTTATGCTGTAGCAGTAAGAAAGAATTGCAAGTAATTGACTGATATACTGCAATGATCAGACTTTGTGGATAAATAGGGATCCTGGATGTACATTATTGGAAATACAAAATAACGTGAAAGACAGGAAAGGTTTTGTGCATCTTCTGGCTATTTGTTAGGGTGTTTTATTGAATAAATAAGAGGAGCGAGCACACTGTTTATGTCGTGCATAAAACAGTAGATTGTCAGGTTGCACTCGAGGTCTATGTGGTTTTGAGTTGATTTGCAGTTATAATGTACACAGATACCTGTGCATATATATTTGAATTATCCATTATGTTGTGGTAACAAAGTCAGACTTGTTTTATATGTAATTCTAGTTCTTTCCTTCTGATAGTTCCAGTGAATGTGCAATTTATTAGAATTTGCCAGTGAATCAATGAAGACATACTGGTTTTCAAAATGTGATTGCTTTACAGAAAAATGTAGAAAATACTTGGTGCTGTTTGCAACCTATGTATGTCTAATGACCAATCCTAGCTTTCTGATAACTGCTCTGATATCCAATTTTTCATGGGGTTGGCAATCGTCCAATAGTAGTTAGCTGAGTTTGAGATTTGTACCTGATTGGGCAAGAAAACTTTGCCCCTACTCTTCCTTGGGCAATATATTCCTCCTTGCTGTAATTTTACTGCTCTGGGTCCTTGCATTGGAGCAGATATGGATAGATTGGCTATGGATTAGAACATTAGTCTTTCCTCATGGGGTTCCATTTGAGGCCATTTCCAGCAGGACTAATTATGTATTATTGATTTTCTCAAATCCAAATATGAAGAAGAGAGAAATTAAACATTTTTAAATTTATGAAATAATATACTTTACAGGATGGGAACTTGAAGGCTTCCCCATCATAATTTCAACACATACAATCCTTCCTACAGATGTAATTGCCGCTGTAGGAGCAAACAGGATGGGTATAGGTTGTTTGTTTGCACCATGCTTGCTGAAAAGCCCAGTGGTTAGATTATAAAGTATTTTACACTTGTTGCCTCGGAGGACAGAATGCATTCAGTAATTATTTAAAATAAATTTTAGCAATAATAAATAAAAAGTATTAATAACAAACTGTCTCAAATATATTGGGTCAGCAGCCTTGAATTAATGAATTTGTAATGACATATTGACCTTTTAACCATTGAGTGATAAGTGCTGATGCTACACTTAGAACACAGTAAGAGCAAAACAGTTTGTTGTGAAACATTGTCCTAAAATCATGGTCAATTTAACAGTATTTTAAATGTATATTGTGCATCACTGATTGATAATGGACATGTGTATATTGTCATCTGATTTTCACTTCAGATACCAATAGCCACAAAGATTAATTACCTGCTGTTTGCTTTTAAACAACAACTGATTTATACGTGTCTCTGGCAAAAGGAAAGTTCATCATAGAGCTCTCCAGTTTACCTTGAGAAATTTTGAGTGAATTTGTCCTCCCTTAAGGCAGAGTATTGGGGAACTACATATTTTTCCAAGCCCCATTCAATCACGAAAGTGTTGGATTTTAAAGATCATCCCCAGGGACAGATGAACACTGTTTCATTGTGTCAATGTTTCAGTTGTGCACTCTTATCTAAAGTTTGATTTGGTGAGCTCTGTCGAACCAGCATATGCCTACGGAAAATTTTGATTACCTTCTGGTAACTGGGTTTCTCGATCTAATGACACTTGGAACTTTTTGAAGCCATCAGAAAGAGCAAATCTAATCTTCTAATGGAAGATTGGATTTCAGTTCTCGGTCTAAGAGGTCAATCAGTAATTGTCCTTCTAACAAACTGCATCATCTAATCTTCATAAGATAGGAACTCTTTGTTCATCCTCCTTCGACAGGTGTAAACCTGTATCTAACTCTCTACCTTCAAACAATGCTGATCTTGCTAATGTTCATCTTGCCTAGCACATGCCCTTTGCGACGCACTCTAAGTTTTTATTCCATCCTATGATCTGTATGTCCTTGCTTACAATGATCTGCCTGTACTGCTCATAAACAAAGCTTTTCACTGTACATGTGACAATAAATAAATCAAATCAAATATCCCATAGATAAAGACAATGCTCCACCTTGGCTCAGGATAGCACTTCTTTCCCCTACATCATGGAAACGATAGGTTCAAGCCACACCCAATATTCCATTGTAGTACTTAAAGGGACTGCTGCACCTTTGATATGATATACAATAAACTACCCCTTTGCCTTTTCAAGTGGATGTAAAAGGTCACATGTACTATTTAGAAAAATAACCAAGTTCAGGAGGCCAATACCTACCTTTCAGCCAACATCTACCCTTTTATCATATTGTTATTTGTGGGACATCTCACAGATTATTTTGGCATTACATCATTGGCTATAATCAGCTTTGGGCTGACCTGGATGAAAGGTGTAGACATACGCAAGATTTTAGTTATTTTTTGAGGACAATGTTAACCAAAATCTTTAAGTAAAGCATCATTCTTGTTCTCTTTTTTCTACTCGTTAAATGAGAACAAATACCATTGAACAGCATGGGAATTTCTATTGATTAAAAACAAATCTAGTATCAACAAAATATGATATGTTCCCCTTTTTGAAGAAGAATTAAGAAAAAGATTCAATGGTTAGAAAAGGATTCAACACAGAATCATTATCTTCTTTGCTGACAGATTCAGAACAAAGGGGCACAATAGTAATGCCATTCAGGGATAAGATCAGAAAGCACTTCATCAAAACAAAAATGGTCATGGAAATCTATAATTCACACAACCAAAAGTCTTTGGAAGCTGGGTATATTGAATGTTTTGAGTCTGGGAGCATTGGGTTTTAACTAACTGAAGGTATTGCATGGTATGTACCAAAAGTGGCCTAAATTGGGTTGAGGTGCACGTCTCCCATAATCTGATTAAAAGGGAGAACAAGTCCAGGGGACAGAATGGCCCACTTTTTCCTCAAATGGCAGAGTAACATTAGGAATACCTTGAAGTAAATAGATCTCATTACTGTGAGGCACTAAAAAAGTATTAGTAAGAAGTTCAATAATGTGAAAAATAATATTGTGGTAATGTAAGAATATTCCTGTACAATATGAAGATGGGATATACATAGAGATTAAATTAAGTGAATATTTTATAGATTTTTAATGAAAAAATTGTACATAATGAAAAATGAATTCAAAGCAGAAAATTATTACTCATAATACAATGCACATATATAGAGATAATGCTAAATGGTGGCTCTTTTCTATAAGTTTTCAAACACTTGTTTAAAAGGTTTGCGAAAACCATAGAGAGAAATTAATTTCCATGTTTGGAATCTCATCCTGTTTTGCTTCAGAACTCTTCTTATTTTAAACGCAATCCAGACTAAGTAATAAAACTAGTGTTTGGATCCCTCTGAAGGTACTGTCACTTCATGTTAATATACGAGTGCGAAGACCCTGGTTAATACTCAATTAGTGTTCTGCTCTTTCAGAGAGAGAACCTGCAGTAACAGTATTTTACAATGTGTCACTCAGTAACTAGATAAGAAGGATAACTAGGACTGGGGCACTTATAAATCAAGAGAGTTTATAGATAGTGCTGGGGAATCTTCTGACCCAACTGCAATTCACTACTTAGCTGACCAGACATCCATTATTGCATTTTTCTCAGGTATGAGAAGACTTAACAATAGACCACGTGCGTAGGCATATACGGAATGACAAATTAGATGAGGTAAATGCACAACAGAAAAACAATCAATTGATGGTGTATACACATTCAAACATGCATTTGAAACCAAAGTCGCCTTCCTTTAATAATTATTGCAATACATTACTTTCTTAAAAAGGAAAGCAAAAGTTATCCAAAAGTAAGCAACTCCTAGACAGGTTGGACAACTGCTTATAATTCCTGACGAGGAAATGAACAGGAAAGTGGGACTCATTGAAAAGCACTGGCATAAAAGGCCAGGCCAAGTGGCCTCCTATGTTCCATGATTCAAAGGCTTTAGAAGTTTAGCTGTATGGTTGAGATGCCTCAAATGATAAGTGCAAACAACATGCACTCAAATGGACAGGCCTGAACAGTTTGGGTTCTGTACGTCATTATCATGTAGAATGGGGGTCAGAGGCTACACAGCTTTATGTGCAGATGTTCCAAGAAACAATGGAGGAAGATGATGATTGGCTTAGCCTCAGAGGTTAAGGATGGCAGGGAAAGGTAGCAGGTGAGAACTGAGGGTGGAGATCTCAAAACTGGGAGCAGTGCTGATTAAAGTATTAACCTTTTCTTCATTTCATGCAGTTTAACATTGCAAATAAAGGCCTCTGAAAAAACCACTGATGCTGACTTGCCTTAGGTGTTGGTAAGGAGCAAAGAAAAAGGTGCTAGACATCTTAATTAAATACATTGATAGCCCAAAGCCTGCTTCCCATGTGGATGAAGGACATTTACTGTTTGGCCCTGACCAAAATGGCATAAGGCATAGGCTGAATTATTTACACATAGGAGAAACACCATATTGAAAATAAAACAACATCAGTGACGGTGAAAACCTGAGATCTACAGAAGTGTATTTCTAGACCAATGAGCTTCTCTTCAGCAGCTTGGAAGGATCGTCCACACAAAGTTTACATGGCTGCAGTTGAATAAAATTCACTAATGATATTAGCAGAGCCGTTGTCACAGCTACCCTACAGAATGCGAGCCTCAATGTACACAGATTCTCTCTCACTCCCAGGTATGTGCAGCTGATGTTAACAATGCACTGGTTTGTCCTGCAAGTACCTCCTCTACTCCTGGACAGTCCAATCTTTCTCATCTTAACACACTTTGCTATAACCAGCAACAGCCAATGCATATATGTTGCATTCAATTCCCAGCTTTGCCTTCGGTCAGGTTTTACCATTAACAAAATGTTTTTGCTCATTTACACTGACTCATTCTAAATGTAGGAGCAAGA